TATTATATTTCTTTTTATACATATCGGCCGAAGGTGATGAAGGCCTGTTTGAAGAGGCTGGGGGCTGGTTGGTGGAGGGTTTGAGGGCTGTGTGGAGTGGCTGTGGGCTGTGTGGAGTGGCTGTGGGCTGTGTGGAGGTTTGAGGACTGTGGGGGGTGAGGGCTGTGTGGGGTGGCTGTGGGCAGGTTGGTGGAGGGTTTGAGGGGCTGTGTGGGGTGACTGGGCTGTGTGGAGGGTGAGGGCTGTGTGGAAGTGGCTGTGGGCTGTGTGGGAGTTTGAGGGCTGTGGGGTGAGGGCTGTGTGGGTGGCTGTGGGCAGGTTGGTGGAGGTTTGAGGGCTGTGTGGGGGTGACTGTGGGCTGTGTGGAGGGTGAGGGCTGTGTGGAGTGGCTGTGGGCTGTGGAGGGTTTGGGGGCTGTGTGGGGGTGAGGGCTGTGTGGAGTGGCTGTGGGCTGTGTGGAGGGTGAGGGCTGTGTGGGGGTGAGGGCTGTGATGGCTGTGTGGAGGGTTTGAGGGGCTGTGTGTAGAGGGGTGAGGGCTGTGTGAGGTGGCTGTGGGCTGTGTGGAAGGTGAGGGCTGTGTGAAGTGGATGGTTGGTGGATGGTCCTTAGTCTAAGGCTCTGTGAAGGCAAAGAGATGAACTTGAATTCAATTTACGGTGGTTTGTTGTGAGGGGAACACCACAGCAGGTAGAGAGAATGAACACAACAGAAGAGTTCCAGCAGGAAGAGAGAATGAACACAACAGAAGTGTTCCAGCAGGTAGAGAGAATGAACACAACAGAAGTGTTCCAGCAGGTAGAGAGAATGAACACAACAGAAGTGTTCCAGCAGGTAGAGAGAATGAACACAGCAGACGTGTTCTAGCAGGTAAGAATGAACACAACAAGTGTTCAGCAGGTGAAGAATGAACACAGCAGACGTGTTCTAGCAGGTAGGAGAGAATGAACACAACAGAAGTGTTCCAGCAGGTAAAGAGAATGAACACAGCAGACGTGTTCTAGCAGGTAGAGAATGAACACACAGAAGTGTTCCAGCAGGTAAAGAGAATGAACACAGCAGACGTGTTCTAGCGGTAGAGAATGAACACAACAGAAGTGTTCTAGCAGGTAGAGAGAATGAACACAGCAGACGTGTTCTAGCAGGTAGAAGAATGAACACAACAGAAGTGTTCCAGCAGGTAAAGAGAATGAACACAGCAGACGTGTTCTAGCAGGTAGAGAATGAACACAACAGAAGTGTTCCAGCAGGTAGAAGGAATGACAGAGACGTGTTCTAGCAGGTAGGGAATGAACACAACAGAAGTGTTCCAGCAGGTAGAGAGAATGAACACAACAGAAGTGTTCCAGCAGGTAAGAAGAATGAACACAGCAGACGTGTTCTAGCAGGTAGAGAGAATGAACACAACAGAAGTGTTCCAGCAGGTAAAAAGAATGAACACAGCAGACGTGTTCTAGCAGGTAGAGAGAATGAACACAGCAGAAGTGTTCCAGCAGGTAGAGAGAATGAACACAGCAGACGTGTTCCAGCAGGTAGAGAGAATGAACACAACAGAAGTGTTCCAGCAGGTAGAGAGAATGAACACAACAGAAGTGTTCCAGCAGGTAGAGAATGAACACAACAGAAGTGTTCCAGCAGGTAGAGAGAACGAACACAACAGAGTGTTCCAGCAGGTTGAGAGAATGAACACAGGAGAAGTGTTCCAGCAGGTAGAGAGAATGAACACAGCAGACGTGTTCCAGCAGGTAGAGAGAATGAAACACAACAAGTGTTCCAGCAGGTAGAGAATGAACACAGCAGAAGTGTTCCAGCAGGTAGAGAGAATGAACACAACAGAAGTGTTCCAGCAGGTAGAGAGAATGAACACAACAGAAGTGTTCCAGCAGGTAGAGAGAACGAACACAACAGAAGTGTTCCAGCAGGTTGAGAGAATGAACACAACAGACCACCGGTGTTCCAGCAGAAACTAGAGATATTTTTATGTTGAATCGATCTCATCAACCTTATTTTTATTAATTTATTAACATTAATGATATTTTGTATGTTGTATGGATTTCGATGTTGTTCAACCCAACACTACCAGGGTCACCATCTGTAGGTCAAGGTCATGCAAGATTAGGGTTAATTAGGGTTTTTTAAGGAGCCAGGACCTAACCTAACCGTCGGGAAGGTTGGTAGGTGAGTCAGTGAGTAGGGGGGGGGTGGGGTTGCTGGATGACCCTGGTTCACTGTCAGGGTTCCAGACGCTGAGCCGCCGCCGCTTGGTGGTAGTGAACTGTGGCGTTGCTGTGGCTAACGTCGTTGGTATTGTGAGTAGTATTACTAGCTCTCTCTCTCTCTCTCTCTCTCTCTCTTTTCTCGCTCGCGCGCGAATATCAGAGGTAGTGCCAACGGAAGCAGTGATGATGGTAGTTGAAACTGGGTAATGTCAGTTATCTATGATGGTAACTGATAATTTTTCCAGTAAAACTCGGTGCCACCAATTTCAGTGTTGGTAGATGTCCCCTGTTTACCACCACCTTGTATCACCATCTGACATGTTATCCTCCTATAAGATATTGTAAAACGTTTTAGGGAAACACTTGTTATCCTGTAACTAAGTAACAGACGTAACATAACAGGAGTATGTAGCTGCAACATTGTTTTTAACGACTGTATTTTTCTATATATTGTAAACAAATGGCTGTTCTGTAGTGACATGTAGATATAATGATATAGTGGTATATGTGTTTTAATCTGGATGTTACACTTTGAATGTGGTCAGGTAAAGGTATAACATTGTTCAGTAGTTCAGCTCTACACTCGAGGACTTCTGATGCTCATGTTTGTGTTTCTCCTCGGTGTGTCAGTGCACTCAGATGCTATATTAACGTAGGTTCGAAGGTTCAGTTCCGTCGAATAAATAATCCATTCGAGTCCTTGTAAAGAGCCATAGCCCGAGTCTCAGAGGCTGGAGGGCTTTTATTCTCCCCATACTAGAAATGTCGGAACTAAATCCTTACTCTACCAGGAACCCAAGTTAGTTTTAAAAATGACCTGATACTTTACGGTAACAAGAGTTGTTCCTTAACTGTGTACAAACTTTAACGTACACGTGTTTAAGACTTGGGGACCTGGGTACTGGAACTGAAGTCAAGAATCTCTAAGATGTTATTTTGTTTTCTCTCTTAAGTGACGACAAGATAAGATGTCTATTTACAGTAGTCTATGTGATGCAGTGTCCGAGGCTGCTGTGGTGATGTCAGGGCGGCTGTGGTGGTGTTCGGGGCGGCTGTGGTGGTTTCGGGCGTGTGTGGTTTCGGGCGGCTGTGGTGTCCGGGGCGGCTGTGGTGGTGTTCAGGGCGGCTGTGGTGGTTTCGGGGCGCTGTGGTGGTGTCCGGGCACCGTGTGGTGGTGTTCGGGGCGTGTGGTGATGTTCGGGGCGGCTGTGGTGGTGTCCGGGACGACCGTGGTGGGTGTCCGGGGCAGCCGTGGTGGTGCGGGGCGGCCGTGGTGGTGTTCGGGGCTGCCGTGGTGGTCCGGGGCGGCCGTGGTGGTGTCCGGGGCGGCCGTGGCGGTGTCCGGGGAAGCAGTACCACATGGTAGTCTCCGCTCAGCCCGTACTCCCCTGCAGCTATTTGCCTTCGACGCAACAGATGCCAACCCTCCTCTGGCGGCGAGGGAAGGATGATCCTAAAATACCACAGTAAGGACCAAACTGCCCTCCGACGGGTCCCTAAGTTGACACCTTGCTGGAGTACGGTGTTCATTTATCAGCATGACAAGCGCAGCCGCTCACCGCTATCCCGTGGCCTCGGGTCCTCCCATACTGCCTGCTGGGGCTCCCTCTTTCGGTGACTCTCACCCACCTCTCATTCCCACATTCAAGAAAGAATAAGACAGCGAGAGAGACAAAGAGAAGATGCTGTTTTTTTTTGCAAGTTAAGTTCTTCTTGTTCGTATAAACCCGGGGAAAATGGCGTCAGCCTCTTGGATTAATTCTGTTGCCTCGCCTAATTTTTTTCAGAGAGAACGTTCTATTGGGGATTATTCTTCCCTCTTGTTCCTGTAGATCACTTACTGCCAGGTGTTAGTCGTGGCCTTCACGAGACGCTCACATAGTAACTGTTATTGTTGACCTTCTGCAGTTTAGTAAAAGATTTACACGTGTACCATAACGTCCCTCGCCTCTTCGTATTCTTATCCTTCATTTAATCTGAATTCGTGTCCGTCTCTTCACAACAAACAGTTTCCTGTAATCACCTGAGCAGACTGAAGGCCACACAGTCACCAAAAACTCACCAGCCATCGTCAGCCGAGCACCATGGGGGCTCAGTAAACCTCCAGTACTTGTGTTGAACACTTGAATTTTCTTCAACAAAAATTCATAATACGTTGGTAGTTCTCCCCTGTTCTTAATTTTTATTATGATTTTTTATCGTAATTATGTCAGCTAAGTTAGGCTGATTTGCGTGGGTTAGGGTAGATGGCGTTAGGCCCGAATGAATGAATCCTCCTATTTTCCGCCACATTAACTAGGCTACAGTATATACAACTGGGCTAAGTCAGATTACGTTAGGTGAAATAATATCACTGACTTACATTAGTTTATATTGAATGTAATTAAGTTTAGTTGACTTATCAAGGTAGCAAGAGTTAGTAGTGGACAACAGGTACCAGTGTTATGTCAGTCAGTTCTGTATGATCAGGGATGTCAACCGCGTGAGGACACAACACCCAGAGAGAGAGTCGGGTCTCCACTACAGCCAAATAAATAAATATGATTCATCTAACAGTATCCTGAGACACATGACAAAAATAAAGACAAAGGACACATACCATCGACACACACACAAGGACAGACAGAGACACAGACAGACAGACACTTGGCAGTCAGATATAAATAACCTTAAAACTCGTCACCAATGGAAACAAGTACTGTGATAAACCCGCACGGTGAGGCATAGTTAGACGTGGTTGAGGTTTGAGGGAGAGACACTTTGTAACAGGTTCTTTCCTTCAGGTGATGTAATGGACAGATGACGTTACCCAGGAGAGATGGCGTTACCCAGATGAGATGACGTCGCCCAGGCCAGGCCCTTCAGGAACTAACCATACGGTGAGTCGTGGTCAAACTTGTTACTGTTGCTCTGTCTACCTGTCTTAATCAATCACCTGTCTGTCTATCTGTGTATGTCTCTGTCTGTCTGTCTGTCATATTTAAGTGGGAGGATTACATCATCATCATCAATATTATTCTATTATTATTATTGTTTGGCCTAATTATAATAATAATAGAATTATTATGCATTATACAAATACGCCACCAAATCCAGAGTCCAGAACCTAAAATGTTGTTAAATTTCCCCGGTACTGGTAATGTTAACGCATTTAACTGGTCTTCTAAAATTACATCACTAACTTGGGTTCCTGAAGAATCGTTAGTTCACTATTTCTTCTTATTGATTATTGATGCAGCATATAAGTGACTCACTGTAGTTTAGACAAAATGATTATGGTTGAAATGGCTCTAACGCCCGGAGGAGTTTTAATCACCTCCCCGCCAAGGACTGCCGTGCGTTGTCCTTCGTGACTCATTTTTTGTCTTGATATGATTGTTTGAGATTCATTTGTTATCGCCAGTAAACGGATATAACCTCTACGGAATCACGCTGTCAGTGAGATGCTTTTGGTGAGGCTCAAGAATCCTTCCCAGTGAGTGTCTTGTCATGATGGGTGTCGGGGTGAGGTTGACGTTATAATGCGCGTCAACAACAAAGGTATTTAATGGCGTAACAAGGTTAGTAGTAATCACACTACTCCATCAACAGTTAAAGAATTCTGAAGAGACGTCTCTGTATGACCTACGACACAGCTGACAAGAGAGACTTGGTGGACAGTTACCGGGAGTTACATTCTGAGGTCACTAGAAATAACCACCACAATTAACACAGTTCGCTCGGAATAAGGAAACTTTAGGACCACAAAGTAAACAAAATACACTCTAGGATTGAAGTCGTGGACAGCTGCACGAAACCTACACTAGCAATGAGGAAATTTTTTAACTGCAATAGAGATACTTAACTTCGAGTGATTTTTTCGTCGTATTTTATTTTAAGGTATTTTTTAAACTTATTTCATTTATATCATTTGTACAGTTTTGGGTGACGTACAGTATCACGGAATACTGGAGCCTCCTGACACGCTCTCTGGAAAACCTTTGAACAGTTGGCGGGCCTGGAGATGACTGGTCTTGAGTTTCCAGGGTATCCCTGTTGTTCATTTATCATGACTGAATTATATCAGGTTTTGAACCATGATATGTTTCATGTTCCGTATAGAGATGGCTTCTCTTTTCAGATGAATCATGCTACCCAGTCAGGCAAACCAAGTGTTCATATGTAGTCGAGGTAAATCTTTCATTATGTTTAGACTGATTAAAAAAATAGTTAGACAAATATATAAGAATACCATATTTTCATGTCAGACAGTCTACCCCCTCCAGGCGATAGTAGTCAGTGTTACCATTACTTGAGGACCTGCCAGTGAGGGCGGCACAACTGGTGGTGTACTATGTGAAGTCCTTACAACACTTCGCCTGTGAGACCAATGTTTTGCTACAGGAAGACAATGATTCAGTAACTCCAATATTGTTTCTTCACCTTTAACGTAATAAGCTGTTGTCATTCTCTCACTTGAAATACCAACAGTAGACGAGGTGGTCAGTCCAACCCAGCCTCCCTGGCCCTGGATCCTGGTGAAGTATTTAAAGGAATTATAACGTTACAGGATGGAGAAAATGTTAAACCATATCTTAGCAGCGTCCAGTATGGTAGCCTTAGTGAAAGCTCAACACACAACTGATTTGCCTTCATCTCAACTAGAGACAGCGTAATTGACTCACGGAGCAACATCACCATTATATAAGCGATTATACAGACTAATTCACTGTTCTCCGAGAAGTGTATTTGCTAGGTTGTTGTCCATCGTTATTTCCTTCCTTCAAAACTTCTTGGGTCGCCGCCATAACGTCAAGTATTAAAATATTGTATAAGACTGGTGCCTCAATACTCTTGGGATGCGACAAGACACACCCGAGTCCATTTAGTTTTTGGCTATGGGCAACATGCTGCACAGAAATGATTTTAACTCCTCTAAATTTGTAGATAATCTTACAATTGGTATTTTCACCAGAACTGTTCAAGACTTGTCACTGTTGTACATTGTATACTGTGAGAGATACATCAGGTTAAAGATGGAATGTTTTCTCTTGTGCGCCTTGCATGTCTCGCACAAGACTTGAAAATAATACGAAAAATACAGATATGTGTTTATCTAAAGGTTCTAGAACGTGATTACACAAATTACCTAAATGCTCTACAGATTACAAGCTTACACTCACAAGGTCAAAGACATACAGACGGGTGTGTTGTGTGTGTTAGGGCAGTGTTGGCCAAGAGGGTCGAGTAGGTCGGGATGAAATTGAGTCAACACACTTCTGTGTAACATTGATGATCATATACTGTCTTGATCATGTCATTGTGTCGGACCGTTATATTGTAGAGTACTAAGGATGTCTTAACAATTAGTATATCCTTGTCTTTAGTATCTTTAAAATGTGGGACGTCATTTTTAGTATTTCATTTTGCTAAGGCCAGACGATTTTATTCAGCACAGAGAGGCGGTCAATAACATCACTGTGCCAAGTTTTACATAGACACGATAATGTTTTAACCTTTTACAGTCTAATCCTGGTATTAATGTGTATACTGTTTATGTACAGTCTGGGACAAAAGTTCGTTCCCGTGGTGAAAGTGAGTCACGCGATTGAGTCTCCGAACTGACTTGCCCTGACTGTTTCATCTCATTTTGGGTCGATGCTGCTTCATTTTGGGCGGGAGTGAACTTTTGACCCCGAATGTACCATAAAAAGTTATATAATTTGAATCTCCTTTACATGGTGATGTATTATATTATCTGAGATGCGTGTATCATATTTTGAGGGACAAATATAACTTATTTAATGTTTATTACTCATTTATAATTAGTGGGGGGATTAAGATTATAATTTTGAGAACCAATCTTTTTTTCATCTGAGTTTAAGTGAACTCCTTAGATGCTTCAGGAAGGCCATTCTGCAGCCAAAATTTATACCTCTTATGAAACTCAAATCAATCATTAAATCATAGCGTAAAACAGCCCAGTTCAATGCATCCTCACATCACCACCCAGTTAGGGATGAAAATAAATTACTGATCTCAAGTGGATCAAGTTAATTCGTTCGGAAGTCATTAGTTAAGGGGAATTATATGTGAACATTTTCTATTGCATATTTATGCCTAAGATAATTTGCTCTCACACCACCAGTACCACAGATGACAAGAGCCAAGTGGCACTATTCTCAGTCATTAAGAGGAAATAATAACGAGTGAACCTTTGCAAATCCATCTCTCTTCCCTTTGTTAATGCGTTAGATACGGTCTTATATCACCAGTTAGTAGGATAAAGTGTCGATTAAATTTCGAGGATTCCATATTAATCTAAATGGTTCCTCATCACCAGTTAAGGGGAAAAAATAACTTGAGAGTCTCTGGGAATCATTGTTGAAAGAGATTTCAACACGACCGTAGATACGAATCCAACTCTCTCTCTCTTTTTGTTTTTTATTGTTTTTTTCTTTTCGTTTTCCTTATCATATCGTTCCTGTTATTATTCATGTTTTCATTATTTTCTTCATACTATTCTTGTTATTTAACTTGGTGTTTTACTTCCTTTCTTCTTGTTCTTTTTATTCGTATTTACAATCTTGTTCTTATATGTTCTTGCCATTAATCTTGTTATTTTTATACTTTGTTACAGTTCTTGTTTTGTTGTTTTTGTTCTTAGTTTCCTGCTCTTCGTTATTTTTTTCTGTTTCTATTATTGGTTTTGTCTTTGTTGTTCTTGTCTCTTTAGCGTTTAATTATCACTATTATTATTATTCTTGTTGTACTTGTTCGAGCTGGTCTACCCCTTGTTCATGAAATTCATTGTACACAGACTGAAAAAAAAATGCTTTAAAGACAAAAACTAAATGAAAGCGAGGCTGTTGATTTTCTTGACTGCAGAAACAGTAGAGGCAGCAGTAAGAGAAGTAGCAGTAGAGGTAGCAGCAGTAGAGGTAACAGCAGTAAGAGGGAGCAGCAGTAGAGGTAGCAGAAGCGCAGCAGCAGCGGCAGCAGCAGTAAGAGGGAGCAGCAGCATCAGCAGCAGCAGTAAGAGGGATTAGCAGTTGAGGTAGCAGCAGCGGGAGCAGTAGTAAGAGGGAGCAGCAGTAAGAGGGAGCAGCAGTAGAGGTAGCAGCAGTAGGGGTAGCAGTAGAAGCAACAGCACTAGAGATAGTAGTACAGGTAGCAGTAGAGGCAACAACAGTAGGTGTATTGTAGAGGCAGCAGTAGAGATAGCAGTAGAGGCAGCATCGGTAGAGGTAGTAGTACAGGTAGCAGTAGAGGCAACAGTAGAGGTATCAGTAGAGGCAACAACAGTAGAGGTGTCAGTAGTAGAGGCAGCGGCAGTGGAGGTAGTAGAGGCAGTAGTAATGGAGTTAGTAGAAGCAGCAGTAGTAGGGGCAGCTGTGGTAGAGGCAACAGCAATAGAGAGGCTAATAGAGTAGAGGTAGTAGGGGCAGCACCAATCGAGGCAGCTGTGGTAGAGACAGCAGCAGTAGAGGCAGCAGCAGCAATAGAGGCAGGAGTAGTAGAGGCAGCAGCAATAGAGGCAGGAGCAGTAGAGGCAAGGTAGGTATCTGGTATTGCCCCGCCCCTCCACAATTGCCGTCGGCTGATGGATCACTATTTTCACGCCGCCCTAACTACCACCACCACCACCACCACCACCACCACCACCACCACTACTACTACTACTTTTTAAACGTGGCCTCCAGCCTCCCCCAATAGCCACACCTTCGCCACCATTTAATTACCTTAATATTAAATATCCTAATACATATGTAGCTATCCTATCTGTGTTAAATTAGTTGAGCCGCAGATCTATGCGGCATTCAGTGACTGTAACCTCATAGTCGATATCTGCAGCAGTTGTCGGAATTGGCAAGCTCTGTCTGAGGCAGAGCAAGCCGAC